TAGGATTTTTTTTTATGCTCAAGACAAAAAAATGACTTAAATTATCAATACTACTTATGTGATTTAGATTGTCAGGAAGTTTGCTTCAAAATAGTTATTACTATATAAACATTGCCCTTTTGTTTTACTTATTTACTATTTCTTACTATCTCTGTATTTTAGACGAAGAAAAGATCATATGACTTATAATAACGGCAGTTGAAATTTTTATTAGTTTAATTTTTATTATTTATTTAATAGCTAACTTTTATGAGATAAATATTTTCATTAATGCAAATATATATTTATATTTGGGTAGGTATTTATATTTAAATTAAAGTATTATATATGTCACCAATGTATTATCAAGTTAAAAGATCTTCTAACTTCAAAATATATTATTATAAAATGTTCCGAGTTCTTTTTAAAAAAAAACACACAACAAATGTGAAACTATGTGATTATATATAATTCATTTAAAATTTATCATTACACAAAATAAATTATATATTCAGTAATATGGAATAAACATTTACATTTTGTCCCTACACTAAATTAAAATCTAATATTTATACAAAAAAAATAGTAACATTAATTAAAAGTCCTATTTATTTATGTAAGTATAAAATTTATTAGAAATTCAGCTATTGCACATTAATTCTTTAGTTATAACATTATAAATACTCTTAGTTATTCTTAATTATTGCAAATGTTATTCACACTCTCTTACATTCTAAGTTATAATATTATGAATTTCATAGTTTTTGCATTAATTATTTTTATCTTTTATCTTTCCTTATATTAACTTGTGACCAATAATTTTTCACATTATTATACCACCCTACATATGTGATAACACAATACTGTTATTTTTCCTTTGAGGAATCATGCTTGGTTAAATAAATTAAAAATCATTTACAAGTATATGAACTATATCTTTGTTGGGTGTAAGATGAAGAAGTGATTATATATATATGATTTCACAGATAGAAATATTCTTTAATTTTACTTTTTAGTTTTTTCGATAAAAATAAAAGGAAACCTTTCTCAGTTAACTTTGGACAATCAAATAACTATCTTTGATTTATGTACACAGCCAATCAAGAAGTCAAATATGAGAGCCAACAACAAGAACATCATCTATTATGTTATAACTTATAAAATAAAAATTAATATACAACAAATAGTTATAAAAGATAAAATGTAGGTGTTCTCTTCACATGTTCATATGACATCTAAACAGTTTAACGTAGAACACACGTGCAAAGCACATCTGGTTAGATGACAAGAAAAATATACAACAAATATCGTCTATAAGGTAATTGGTGATATACGAATAATTACATGATTGAACCTCGTCAAATTGAAATAAATATATACATCATTACATTTAACTAATACAATTTTTCATTGATCATCTTCATAGGTTCGCGTGAATAAGATATATATATATATATATGACGATCCACATTAAACATTCACAAAAGAATCTACAATATTATTTTGTGCTAAGCTTATTATTCAAATTTTCGCTTAAATAAGAAATACTATTTACTATAACATATATTTTCTAAATTTGTAATCACGTGCAACGCACGTGTCAAAAAACTAGTATACGCTAAAAGTGGGAAGAATGTTAGGCAAAAGTTAGATTACAATTCTATCCCTACATTAAATTTAAATGTTATAAACTATTTAATAAATTATATTGAATAGTAAATCATCATATTAGTACATGAATCAACCACTTTCTTGAATGTATTCTTTTTATTAACTTCATGTTGGAGTTAAATTCATGAATTTTTTGTTTTGTTCATCTTCCAATTGGAAATATGAATGGTTATATTTACCCTTAACAAAAACAAGAAAAATCATATAGATCTATATTATATTCTTTTTTGTATATAAATATTTGTATTAATGTGAAGTACATTACATAGATTTTATTACCTCTAACTCTTCATTATGTAAATATATGCAACTCCCACTAATTATACTCATTATGATTTTTACTCACACCTCTCATCCATAATCAAATGGATTAATGTCATATTCATAACAACTTTAAGTGCTTTTCAATCATATCCTATAAATAGTGACATTTGACACAATATTATATACACTTGAAACAATTGGGAAATAAAAAAAGAGAAAATCTCTATGCTCTCTTCTCTTGTTTTTTTTTTATTTTTAAATGTTTATGTTTCTTGTTTGTTGTTATTGTATAACTTTTTATTGTTTTATTATTAATAATATTGAGAATTTACAGTGATTTTTTACTTTGTATACATTAACCTAGCATGTGGTATTTTAGTATACTTATTTGAATATTGTATTTGTACAATAATTAGTTATTTTTATTTTATGCACTTTTAGTCAATTTTATAACTAAGGATGTATTCTTTTTATTAGGAAGATATATGTAGTTTCTATTGTAAAAACGGTGGATTTTTTTAGTAAATACCAATAAATTTGAAGCGGAGAAAATATGTCATTTGCAATACAAAATTTATATAAAAATTTTTGAGATAAAGGTGCAACACACGTTTTCAGAATTAGTATTTTATAAATACGATAAACCTTGTATTGATTAGTGTGTTCGTACATGGAGCTTACTTTTTACCTCCAAAAAGAAAAGAAAGAATTTCAAATATAATCTTCTTAGACTAAAATATCTTATTTTAATAGATGTTTTTCTACACAAATATAGATGTCAACTAATTATTTTCACTTAACCTATTATTGTTAGTGTATATTCTTATTTGGGCTTTAATTAGCTATTGGAAAAATGGTATGAAATAGCAAACTTAATTCAAATTAAATATTATAGCCATAGTTTATTTTAATTGTAATTCGCAGAAAACATTCCATTTTTGCCATCTGATTCGGTATACAATTAGCCATTTTCGGTATACAATTAGTCATTTTATACATTTCGATATAAAATACGTTTGTGTTTGTATAAAGCGACAGAAAAGTGTATATACAAATATAAATACATATATATTTTTGTCATATACACTTATAATTATACAAATACAAATCTTATTATACAAATTACTATGTATAAATGAATTTATACAAAACTGAATAATTTGTATAAAATTGGATGTTTCTAGCGAATTATACAAATCAAAAGCTCCATATTAAACATAAAATTTGCCATGGAGCGCAATTATGCAAACTATAATTAGAACATACAAATATGATTTTTATGTTTGCTATATGTGAAAGTTGCTCTTAGTTATTTGTGATTTTATTGAAAACTTGCTAACAACATGACAACTTGTAGATTTAAGGAAAACTTACTTGGATGGGTATCTTTTGATAAATAATTACTGATTTTAGCGATATTTTTTTATTTATTAACATTTTTAGCAATACTATGTTAAATCTGCAATATGTATTAAAAGTGAATTATGTATACAATATATATGTATTATAATTTTTAAAAAAAATATATTATGCTTATTTGGTAAGAAATTGACACATTGTATTATAAGTGTATTAAAATGTGAGAAATATATTATCTATCAATAAAACTTGTATTATATGTGAATAATAAATTATTCTTTGTAATATGTATTAAAATTGTATTATAAATGTATTAAAAATGATCAAATGAGAAAAACAATGTTATTGCTATAAATGGTAAATATTTTTTTAATGTTATATATTTATGTAAGTTTCCGCAGATTTAATCGGCAATAAATGGCCCAGTTTTATTTATTTGGCAAATTTTTTTTTTAAATATTTACTTGACATTAAATAGTCATAATTATTTTTCTTGAAAACTGTTCTTTTTCTTATTTTCTCTCTCTAATTCTAGACACGTTATTTTCTCTCTCTCGTTATTTGTCATTATCAAATTCAAAATAGTTAAATAAAAGGAAAAATTACTTGGATGAGTATCTTTTAATAAATAATTACTGATTTTAGTGATATTTTTTATTTAATACCATTTATAAAAATATGTCGTAATACTATGATAAATCTGCAATATATATTAAAAGTGAATTATGTATGCAATATATATGTATTATAATTATTTCAAAATATATTATACTTGTTTGGTAAGAAATTGACATATTATATTAAAATGTGTGATAAATATATTACCCATCAATAAAACTTGTATTATATGTGTTTTATAAATTGCTCTTTGTAATATGTATTAAAACGGTATTATAAATGTATTAAAAGTGATCAAGTGAAGAAAAATGTTATTGCTATAAATGGTAAATATTTTCTTAATATAGAATATTTATGTGAATGTATACACTTTAATTTAATAATAGATATTTTAAATAATTTCCCTCCGTAAGGAATGTTAATATTAAAAATATATTGATACTTATTTTTTTTCACAATTTGATTCTCAAAAGTACTTTTTCAAAAAAAGATTGTCCAAACACAATTTGCTTATCAAAAACACTTTTCAAATGAATTAACTAAACAAAAAATATTATTTATTTCAAAACTTTTTTCGAAAAACTATTTTTAAAAGTAAACAAATTATAGCAATAATGTCAAACAGACTCTAAAACATGATCTATCGAGGATTTGAGTTTGGGAATATAGGTCACATATGTAGAAATTATAATGGGTCAACATATTGTGTACCACCAAAAATAAAGAATATGCTTTTTAAATTCATCTGAAAACAAATTCTTGTACATTTATGTTCAGCAATAACGATAAATAATCTTTAGCATAGACTCAAATAATCTCCAATATTGGATTACATCTACCTTGACATGAAATCTTGTTACATAGCTCCAATTTTATGATGCACTTTCAAGAGAAATATCAATACTGATAATAACTCAAGAAGAATCGTTCAAGTCTTGACAGATCAACAGAAATAAATGAAAATGATATGCAACAAGAATATGATATAAGGAATTAACTATATTTGTACCTTCATGTATAATTAAAAATTTACTTCAATAATTACTAACATTATTTTTCAGAATATACATTGTGCATGACTTGAAACAAACTAGTATATATAAATTTAATCAACTTGTTAAATGTTCTTGTGAAGTCTGCATGCGAATTCTTTCATTCCTAGCACATTCCACCTGGAAATAATAGAAGCATTACATTAGGAACTACTCATTTGCTGCTGACAAAACGATGTGCTAGTAATTTTGAACTAAAAATTCACATTCATATAACTGTTGAACAAGAAAAGGCTCTTTAACTGCGTAACTGCGATAAAAAGAAGATAAAAACTTAATGTGAGATGTTCTTTTTTAGATAAATTTCTTGTCTCACAGCATCATGATTCCTACAATTCGAACAAAATTAGATGTCCTTCACTAAAAATCTGAAAGAATACCCCCACCAACACCAACACCCCCTCCCACAAACCCCACCCCAAAAGAAACCCAAGGTTCTTGATGGGCTAAGTTCTTCTAAAGTACCTGCGCCACAAGTTTCCTTGAGTAATTATGATAAGAGGAGTCATAGTGGTTACAACACATACTTAGCTTGCACAAATGTGAATTTGAAGGTTAGACTAGTTTTCTTTAAAAGCCACACTAAACCTGTCCATATCCAACAAAGCCTGCTTCTATAGAGATGCAAAGCTGCAGAGTCCACATGCTACTCTTTTTATACGTTGTGTCCCTCAATGAGTCAAACTTTAGCAGGATGTATTCAAAAGGTGCAAAATAAATGCTCCCCTCAATGAGTCAAAGTTTAGATGGATGCATTATCAAAGTGCAACATCTTCAATAAAAATTAAAGTGAAATAGAAAGATTTTACGATTCATTTTCAAATATAGCTTCTAAATGTATTATGCTTTCTTCAGATCATATTAATAGGGACCATACCTGGAAAGCCTCTAAGATAGAATTGTAATGCCTTTGCTCTGAAACTGCAGCTGCATATTGCCCCTTGAGAGCTTCATGAGCTTTCTGCTCAGACTGTAGAGCAATTTGCACCTTTTCCAGCTTCTGGGATATGCAGCTCACTAGTAAGTGTTCATATTACAGACCATACAAGCGCCACTAAGAAATATTTTGATTTTTTAATGCTTATGCTGAAATTTGTTTCGGATGAGAGAAAAGCGTAGGCAATAGGCAAGAGCAAATATAAATGGCAGAAATATAACTGTCAGTGAAAAAATGGAATATGACACAGAGAAGATCCAGTACTCCTCTACACAATTTGCCAAAAGGAAAATAGGCAATGCAAAGAGCCATCGAGGAGATCTTCAAGCTTTCCTTTTAAAGGCATTATTGGTTTCATGAAAGGTACCCCCAATGTCACTTACACTCCCACTGAATTAATTACTATCATGCAGGGATTAAAGATTGCTTTACAACATAATCCTACTCCCATTGAAATAGCCTCAGATTCATCAGAGGTAATCAACATGCTACAAAATGGACATCTGACTTACTGTCCGTCAATCTCCAAATGCAGGTCATAGATGTGTTGGTGTTTTTTTAAAAGTGGGGCAGCACAAAAAGATTAAAAATGTCTCTCAATGGATTGAAATGACTTTCAATAAATTTATTAAGCATTGAGGGGCTTTAAATAGCCAACATAAAACATATAATCTGCATAATTTAAAATTTAAACAACCTAAAATATCTCAACAACATAAACAAACTAACTAAAATTCAAAATTCAAATTTATTCAAACTAAATAACTTATTTTGCTAAAAGTTACTGCAGTAACTAAAAGCAAACTTCAACACTCCTCCTTTGCTTTAGTTACTGCAATTGAAAAAAATGCTCCTCCTCAATTTTTGCTTTGGTAGTTGATGCTGGATTTTTTCATTGTTTTTGAACTTGCAAATTTTCTTCTTTTTTCTTTCTTCTTTTGATTTTGTTCTTCAAAAACACGTGCGATGACATAGGTTTCAAAATATGATTTTATTCTCAAAGACCAAATTTGATAGTTTTCGTCTGTGAAAATTTGTGGGGCATTCAAAGAGAGACAACTGCTTGCCATTATTTTGGTTAAAAAATGATTTAGAAAAGCCTGTGCGTTGAAAAAAGCACGGGTTGAAACGGTAGCCTTGATGGGTTAAAATGGGTAGCCCTTACGGGTTAAAAATGTATGGTAGTTTTTGGAAGATTTCACAGATCCCTTAAGATCAATGAAGCTCTTGTTACCACTGTTGGTGTTTTTTTAAAAGTGGGGCAGCACAAACAGATTAAAAATGTCTCTCAATGGATTGAAATGACTTTCAATAAATTTATTAAGCATTGAGGGGCTTTAAATAGCCAACATAAAACATATAATCTGCATAATTTAAAATTTAAACAACCTAAAATATCTCAACAACATAAACAAACTAACTAAAATTCAAAATTCAAATTTATTCAAACTAAATAACTTATTTTGCTAAAAGTTACTGCAGTAACTAAAAGCAAACTTCAACAAGATGCAGTCACAGGATAATCCAACAGTCAGTCACATACAGGGAGAAAAATCAAGTAGCTGATCTACTGGCAAAAGAAGGTGCAAAGAGGTAATGTTTAGATAGACTTACAATTTTGATAGTTCCTCTGATGTTTGCCAACAATGTGTTTGGACAGACATTCTAGAACTACTTTTGCTAGATATATCTCGGGCTATAACATTTCATGTGTTGGACACATCTGGCGAACAAATTATAGGAGCAATGCTCCCACTAATCTAGAATTTTGCCATATTGGTATGATAATCCTATCCAGTTAACATCCCCTCCCCCCCTCCCCAAAAAAAAAGCGTGCCTATTAATAATCACCAATTCACATGACACCGCCCCCTCCTCCAAGTCAATTTTTTGATGAGTTATAACGAAAGCATATTCCTAAACTTCTTGTATCTATCTAAAGGATCAGAGTCTGTGTATTGGTTTTAGTCCCTCCTCTAAACACTAAATTTCTGGTTATTATGAACCTTCTCATTGTTCTGAAAAAGCTTTTTTCTCACATACAGGAATTGATTAAATGCTCTGAAAAAATGAATTCTCAACTGTTCAAGAAAAGTCATACATGCTGCTCTTTCTTTGAGGTATTGGTATAGAGTTTTAAGTATTAAACTCTCCTCTAAACATTGAATATACAGCCATTATTCCAAAAAAAAAGGGTATCATTCAATTCTACTAATGGATTTACAATAGCACTATCATCTAAAGCTAGTTCTGTTTCATGGTGACAAAAGGGAAATAAAAAGTCAATCCAGCATACTCAACTTGACTTTACAGTCTAGAGTTGCAAATTCAAGTTTCTTTACCTTAAGTGATGGGGTAAGTAGGAAGTAAAAAAAAAGAAATCACATCATATATGTCTAAGGTTCTCAATATGTCAAGATTTATTGATTTTGAGTAGGAAAGATACTGTAGAATACTCCTTTTCTTTAAATTTGCTCGTCTTACTTTCCTTTATCCTTCATTTAAAAAAGAATGTCTCTTTCCTAATTTGGCAACTCCTTAATTTCAACATTCCACATTGCATGTTGAAGACCATAAATTTAAAGTGCATTTTGGTACATTGTATATCTTTAGTCAATAACCACAAGATTCAAGTCTTTTTTTATTTCTTAAACTCTATGTCTGGTTAAACTAAGACAACCAAATGAGAACGGAAGGAGTATTATATTAACACTAGTAAACGCGGGAATTTAATATCATGAAATTTATAAAATAATACTTAAAACCTATCCGTCATTAAAACTAAAACACTATATTATTTTACATACAAGATTACGTAGTAACGAACATTAATAATGTAAAGGAAAATGAAAATTATAACATCTTATCAATTATCCTTAATAACATAAGCATAAATTTATGATTGTAAAAAAAAACCAAGATATGTAACATAAGCAATGGTGTTAGTGAGCAACTCAACAGGAGCAAAGTACACGAATATTTAAAGAAGAAAAAGCAGAAAAATAAGAAGTTCAGAATTTTTGTTGTTTTAAAATGAAAGGAAATCCCTCTATTTACAAACAACAAAGGCTAGTGTGAACAAATGTTTGTTGTGCCTTATCAGAAAGGTCACAACTATTTGAAAAAGTTGCAACCCTTCGGAAAGATCACAACCTTTCATAAAAGTCACAACTTTTCATAAAAGTCGCAACTCTTCATTGAAGGCGCAACTTTTCATAAAAGTGGCAACTTTTCATGAAAGGGAAGGCTAGTTTTGGAAATAAATAAATTAAAGGGAATCCTAGTTTGTGGGAAGAAGAATAAGAAGTTCAAAATTTTCGTTATTTTAAACTGAAAGGAAATCCCTCTATTTATAGACAACAAAGGGTAGTGTGAACAAATGTTTGTTGTGCCTTATCTGAAAGGTCACAACTATTTGAAAAAGTTGCAATCCTTTGGAAAGATCACAACCTTTCATAAAAGTCACAACTTTTCATAAAAGTCGCAACTCTTCTTTTAAGTCGCAACTTTTCATAAAAGTCACAACTTTTCATGAAAGGGAAGACTAGTTTTGGAAATAAATAAATTAAAAGGAAATCCTGGTTAGTGGTGGCGCCACGTAGGCAGGCCTAGGGTTCTCTTTTATATATATGATATGATATAAGATAAAACAAGAAATTGTGTGTTTTTTTATAAAATAGTCACTAAATAGGCATAAAGAATAATAACCTAGCATATTGCATAATTAAAATGACAGTATAAGGAGCCTCTCTTCTACATTGATAATAATCAATCCATTATGAAGTAATCTCGCTTGTTTTTTCTTTTTCTTTTTTCGCATCAGATTTAGTAATCAATATCAATTTCAACTAATATATGAATTCTCTGTATCTAAGTGTTCAGCCAATTCACAATGATTATGATATTTTTCCGTCAGTTGTTAATCTACAGCACCTCTTCTACTTTTTCCAAGTTAGGAACTGGCTATACTTTGTGAAAGCGTAAGCAGAGCTTATTCTAGATCTTGCAAACAAATTTTTATTTGCGATCTACCATCACTTCATATAATACAAAAGAGCATCTCCTCTACCATTTGTCACAATAGAGATAAATGATGTTTCACAATACTATGTGATGTACAACAGTACTGAAATTTGGTGTAATATGATATATCATTTTTTGATCAATTCAGATTTTAGAACTTGAAATTGAGGGTGTCACGATAAGAGAAATTTTATGAAACTATTACACAGATACTATTTCCTCCAGATATAATAGCACTACAAAGTGTCAAAGCCATTTGTTTCAAACTAAAGAAAAACAAATAAAAATAAGATCTAACTCTTTTTTCAGTGCTACCTGAATAGACTGGTGAGAAAAGGAAAAGGAAGAGGAAATTATTTATCTTAACAAACACAAATAGAAAAGAGGCGGACATAAATATATTTAGAGTTCAACTTGTAACAGAAGAAGTGAAATTTATTTAACACCAGTAGTTCATAATCTTGAAATAAAGTAGCTTCTGACAATAGATAAATGTAACCTGACTGTAAAAAATCATTACACCGCAGATGTACATAAGTGTTTTAAAAGGAGTTTTTGGGGAGAATCAGGATGAGTCCCGGGGTGGGGCACAGTAAAAATGCACTAGGGAGACCCGGGGGTAAAAAAATATTGGGAGGTGTAAGCCCCATTGTTCTGGGCAGACGCCTAGTCACTGGGCGAGTTTTTGTTTTGGGGCGTAAGTCTAGAAAGCCTCTTCCAGATTACTAGAATTGCTAAACAAGTCTTTAATTTAATACCAAAACCACAACAGTCGGCTTGTTATAAAATTCTAAAAAGTTAAAAAACTTGAAAGTCAATTTTTAATTTTTTATTTTTAGTCCTAATTTTTATCCTCTCTCTTCATCTTTTGTCAGGTAAAGGGGAAAATGACTATTTTTGCAATTTAAAAGCAAAAAACTTCATCTTTCATCACTTGCTCTGGTTCAACGCTTTTGATTAGGTTTCTTTCTCACTTTTTCTTTCTTTTCAAGTTCTTTTGCTCTTTCAAGTTAGTTTATGAATTTCTACTTTAACTTTCTTTCCAAGTCTGGTTAGACTTTTTTGATGGATCAAGTTCTAATTAGTTTTTTCATAAATTGATTATTCTCATTAGCATCTTTAGATGAAGTAGTTCTATATACATTTTCCATCTTTTTTATATTTATTTCTATGACATTAATTTATAAACTATTAAAAATTAAGTCTCTTGGGGATTACGCCCAGTGTCTTGAGGCTTATGTCCAGCGCCTCGAGGCTTACACCTCACCCCTTATTAGAAAAAAATATCCCCCCTTGCACTCAGTCCTTTTAAGACACTGACGGATATCAGTTAAACTGATCTCTTTATCCTTTTTATTTTTAAAAAAATTCTCACTCAATCAAATAAATTGGAGAAAAAGCTTATAAGAGTAACCATGACAAACTGACATTTGCTAAAAGGTAGTAATATAAAAACCTTGGCAAAGACTAAGCGCCTAGGACTGAATTAGAACTATTATAAGATTTATTTTCCTGTTTTTAAGAGTTCCTCACTCATTCAAAAGAATTGGAGAAAAAGCTTATTAGAGTAACCATGACAAACTGACATTTGAAAAAAGTAGCAAACTAATTATATTGGCAAAGGCTGAGTGAATCCTAGGACTGAATTAAAACTACTATAAGATAATTATTTTCTGGTACTAAAATAAGAAAAGCTGTTTTCTTTTGGGAGTTTCTATTGAATGTATTTTCACTTTAAATCATTTTTCTTCTTACTCTTAGTTACATTGTGGCCCAATTTGCCAAAAGTAGCTCAGGTTAAAAGATGTTAGATTAATTTGTCTTAAATAATGAATCAATGGGTTATTTCAGATGTTAATAAATATCTGAAATATAAGATATAAAACTAAAAGACATGACATGGTTTTGTTAAATCATCAGAACATCCAGCTTTTCAACCACAGTGTGCATCTTTCCATGCACCAATTTTCTGTTCCATTTAATAATACATATTAAAATTTCAAATTTATCCCAAGCAGGACGACCAAGAAACTGCTTCACTCTCCCTTGTATATTAGTACAGATGCATTTCAAGAATGAGGAGCATGGATACCTGTTGAGTCCCGTGCAGAATTCCTTCCATGGAATCAATTAGTTTCTTTCGACCAGCAGGGCTAGTAAGAGCATCTTTGAACTATACAAAGAGAGACAAAAAATGACAAGATAGAAGAAATCAACACTGTCTACAGAAAAAATAGGATGGATCAGAACACAAAGGGAGGAAGATTCAAACAAAGTTTGGATATCAACAAGAAATCAATGTACATTTACATGGTAGAAACCCAAGAAAACTATCAGAGAACTACAAAGTGTATGAGATAGATTACAAAGTATTCTTTTAAATTTAATCTGTGTTAAATCAGTACAGTTACACAAAAGAAGAGTAACTCAGAAAAGCAGCAAAAGTCTTTCCACTCTTCAAGAGAACAAACAACCAAATACACCTCGCTCATTGATCGATAATAAGATCAATAGGTCATTTGACATATAATTTGATGCATTTCACCTCATACTTTGGTGTGTTTTAAGTGCTTTCATTAGTGAAAAATGACCTATTGATCTTAAATTTGAGGATTTAATGAGTAGGAAGTCATGAGCGAAAAGGAAGAAAATTTGAACTGAAATGAAGAAAAAAAGCAAAATCCAAAGTAATTGCATGCGGTTGGTGTGTTGCATGGTCATAGCATCGGCGACTGGCAGATTCTGATGAAGTAATTGCATGCTAAACAGTGAAGTAATTCCTCACTGCATGGTCATCATGTTGGGAGATTTAGTATCCCAACCTTTAGTTTTGAGTTTTTCCCTTTGGTTAATGGTTCGATACTTCCCTTAGGTGCATATGATGTTTTAGCGCTTTGGTTAATGGTTCGATACTTCCCTTAGGTGCATATGATGTTTTAGGACATTGTTGGGATGCTTGGTTTGGGACTCGAAAGACTGGGGCGAGTTTCTGCATCATCGGACAAGATGCTAAAATTTTAACAACTGAAACAGGGCCAAGTGCAGCCAGCACTTAGGAAGTACGGCCAACACTTGGCCAATTTAATAGCTGAAAATTGGTAGATGCTTACCCAAGTGCATCCAGCATTGCCCAAGTGAGGTACTGCAGATATAGCCCGGGTTTGATATTTTATTTCATTCTTTACCATTTGATACCTGAAGGGTTTTGACCTAGATCTTCATCTACAAGCTTGGTGTAAGTGACTCCAACTTGGAATTAAGTCTATTTCATGAAACTAACCAAAGATCTATCATCTAAACATGGAATTAGTTGGGTAAAATTAAGGATTTGAGACATAAACCAGAGAATCACTAAAGTGAGGTTTTGAGCAAGCAAATGGACTTGAAATAAGAATCTAACCATAGATTAGAAATCCTTAGAAAATGGATAACCCGATTGTGAATCTTGTTTCGAGGTTTGTCCATGCTGGTTGGAGTTGACTTACACCTAGTCTAGAATTATGGAACGATTCTAGAGACATTGTTTGACCTCATTGAGTATTATTTTGGATAGGCAGAATTGGTGGGATTTAGGACGGAATCGAATAGCAAATACACTTATGGTCAAGACAGGTCTTGCATCTCCTACCTTATGCAATTGACTGACCTGCTACTTCTTTCCTTCAATAATGCCTCGGCTTCACTTCAAGAACTATTTACCAAGGAAAGACTACTTTGTTTTGAATGGAAGTGGCAGGCTCGGTACGGTTCGCTTATCCATCGGCAAACAGGTGGCACACACTATACTCAATTGGACTATCGCCCAGTGAATCTTTCATAGAGAAGCACACCAGGTGCTCCCTTAATCTGCACTCCGGGCTACTCAAGTTCGTTTGGTAGATTGAGAGCGACAAAGGTGGTTCACAAAGGTTAAGGCTAGCTCGGACCGGGAAAAGTTAAGGATTTGACCTCAATGAGGAAACTCTTTCCAAATTGACTTGTTTTACACTAACGAGCGTACATGCGGATACTAGGGCTTATATGCTTTCCGAGATATAGGATTACATTGCTAGCTATGCTTAGCATGTGACTCCCTTTGTCCCAATTTATGTGGTACCCTTTCCTTTTTGTTCTGTCCCAAAACCTTTCTATAATTTATTGAACCTAGTAACTGTGTATGTATCTCATTCTTAGAAAAACAGTACATAGGTTGTACTGAAACCATATTTACAAGATTTACTTTAAAATCCTACTATCTTTTTCCTAAAATGAGTCTAAAACATCAACTAGAGATCGTATCATTTGAGTATAACTGATTACACCAAAAACATAGTATCTAAAGATTATTTAGCTTGACCTTCTACATACTATTCTCTATGCCATCAAACATCTAGATTCTAGAGTTCCTATCCTTCTAAATTGTCCACCAAATGTTAGCAGGACAATCCTCCATCTATCACGGTTTTTTGCATGCATACCTTCTTCGTCCCAGCTCTGGTTTGCTTCAGTAATCTTGCCTGGCAAAGTGCAAGATATGCATATGCCCTTGAGATTTAAGAATATCCTCCTCAGCTGTCCCGTGATTTTACAGTGAAGAAATAAATAGTTAACTGTCTCAGCAGTCTCACCACAAAAGAAACATCTAGGACATAATGGTATCCCTCTCTTCATCAAATTATCTTGAGTCAGTACTGCTTCATTAGTTAACAACCAGACAAAACAGCCCACTTTGTGTGGTATTTTGGTTTGCCAGATACCTTTCCATGGCCAATCGTTTGAACTCTGAGTGGAGGGATTCATCCAGTTGTAAGCATTACTCACCTTGAAAAGGTTCTTTCTCCATTTCCACCATAAAGTATCTTTTCCAGCCTCCAAGTCATTGAAGTGATCTATGATTGCTGAAAAAGTCTGTCACTCTTTGAATCTCCCAATCATTAAACTAACCCGCAAAAAATTTAAGCCACCGCCCCGCATAACAATTCTTTTCATTTTCAACCCGCCCTGCATAAACCCGCCCCGCATAAATTGTTTAATAATTTCCTTTTCTAGGTAAGTTTGATACTAAATTTTTTTTTCATAAAATCAAAGTTATTCTTTTATTAAGTTATATTAATTTAATAAAATATGACTTAAAATTTTATGTTTTATAGGTCAATTGGAAGTATGTAAGAAATTGTATTAGTTTTGATTGAACCATTTTCATTTACTATCTTGAACAATTTAGTAACTTTAAAGAAATATCTTAATAGATAATGCTCTACAACTGTTATAACATGTAAAAAGTTAAAATTAAGATTGAACCCGCATAAAATCGCATAGACCCGCAAGCCGCCCCGCATTAGTTTCTAAAAACCCACTTCAACCCGCCCCGCATAACCTTAAACCCGCACCACCCCGCATAGCCTTAAACCCACCTCGCCCCGCATCCGACCCCGCCCCATTGCCATTCCTACACCTACTGAAGATAAGACTCCATCCTTGAGGTGTCCGAGCTCTGCAAAAGTCTTCTGCTGATGAAAAGTTAAGGAGTGTATGTCTGGGAAAAGAGCTCCCACTTTGCCCGACTCGTGGCAGTCATCCTTCCAAAATCAGTTTTTTTCCCAATAACCACTTTGATCTTACTGTTGGCCTTGAATTCATTCCACAGTTCTGATAGACCTCAATAAGGCGTGCTTATCTCCTTGGTCATCCAATTACCTTTCTCTTCATACTTTGCACAGATGACATCCTTGCATAGAGACTAATTTTCATGGCTATATTTCCAAAACCATTCATTTTGAGAGCCTTACTCCGTATTTTCAGATTCTTGAAACCTAATACACCTCTCTCTTCCCAACTGTCACTCTTTCCCACTTAACCAAATTATATCCCTTCCTTTCTTTATTTTCTTGCCATAGAAATTTCCTCCTAATTTAATCCAAACTGTTGATAATTGAAGTGCTGGGAAATTACGGCACATTTAATACTTTTTGATAAGGAATTTATGCAAGCCTTAAGCACATTTTGTATGATATGATGGATTTTTGCCAGTGTTTCAGGTAAACAACTAAAATGGCAAGAAATGTGAAGTTACAGACGGATGAGTCCACGGTCCGTCAATGGCATTGACGGACCTTCATTGGTGCCGTGTAAGGCCAAAATCCTGCAGACAAGGACGAATTCAACCACGGTCCATAGAAGGAAATGACGGACCATCAAAGTCACCATAAATATCCAAAAAAAACCTGCAGACTAAAACTTTAAGGAAAGTGTAAAATTCAGAAGCATTTCACAGCGACACTACAGACCGTAAAATAGATCGACAATCCATAGGAGATCCTATAAGTAGAAGAATCGGAGACTTGAATATGCAGAGGATCCTGTTGATGATGAACAGGATGGCCTGTGGAAACAAATGAGGGGCCATAATTTCTCCCTTGGAGCAGACAGCTGAAGTTGACTTTTCCCTAACGGTTGACTATGAACGATTGACAAACTGTCATAGAGGGTTGCGGTCTGTTTGAAGCAGCGTCAAAAGCCTTTCCCAGTTCTGATAGGACTCATTATTTATTGTCTATTAATATTTTCCTTAGGTTTTTAGAACAGAATGTTGTATGTCATAGGAGTTTTTGCGATTTTTGAGTTTGTCTTCAAGTTTGTGGAAACTTTACTACGCTTTTCTAATTCAATCTCTCAGTTTACTTCAATCTAATTCTTCATATGTATTATGCTTTCAGTTATTAAGTTTGTTTGTACTCCAATTATGAGCAGCTAAACCTCTTGCTAGGGTTGTTAACCTGTATGATGGGAAGTTCTTAAGATACATAAATCGGTATACATGGTTAGAAGGTTTTTGATGAATAATTAATTTGTAATTCTCTCATAGAGATTAATGGTTGCAGAGGTTGATCACACCATTGCTCAAATTCAATTCGGAAGAGTGAGTTAGGTTTTGGTCGATTAATTATCAAGAACTCAAGGCAGTAACCTTGTTTAATAAATCTGCATAGGAATATGTTGGCTTTACTTGGCTTAGTATGATCAATAATTGATATCACTTCAGTTGTTTGCAAATTTAGTAAACGGAAAGTATGTTTAACTGTTGGAAACCACTAGATGTTAGAATATAAGATCATTGCTCATCAAAAACAACCTGACAAACTGCCCGTATCATGGGATTGGAAATTAGGGCAATGAGAGGGCCAAGGAAGACGCATTTGCAGACTTGACAGTACTATGTGAGGAGGTCTCACAAGCCAGAGCAGATATTGCTGAGTTGCTGTCCAGATCAGCCCCCTTATTCGATGACCCCGCCTCTCATAAGCATCCTTAACAGAGAGGGGTGTGGTCCTATGAAGATCAAATAGAAAAAAACATGTTCCATATTTTCTGAGGCGACTTCACAGTGAAGAAGGAAATGTCCAGTAGTTTCAGCCTCCTCTTTGCACATATAGCAGCATCTGTTTGGGAGTTGGATTTTCCTTTTCTTCATATTATCTTGAGTAATACATGCCTCATATAGAGTTGTCCAAGTAACACATACAACCTTAGTGGGAGATATAGAATAAAATGTATGGGAAAAGACATCAATTGGTACCTACTCATTTGCCTCCTCTTCCTGGTTTTGTTGGGAATTCAATTTCCGCTATTAGGTACAATGAGTAGCCATGTGCAGACCACAGCATGTAAAACACCCACTTCTCTGCATGAAGGCCCCTTTGTGGATGCAACACTATTGCTACCTGATGAGAGTCTTAAGAGTTATTTGCACCGGATCTCCCCCACCTCTATTAAGACCACCCCGGCTAGGTTGGTCCCCTGTGTAGTTTTGAAGGTTGTAACTGATTGTCCCTCCAGGATTCCACCTAATAATCCACAAGGCACTCAACAGTTTGCATTGCCTTGACAAAATTATCCACCCTTCACTGCGGCAGCTCCAAGTGAGCAAAAGGCTTCGTCCCTTCCATGAGAGCAGAAAACTCATGCACATAATCCCTTATTGACTTCATTTGGTGTAGCTCCCAGAGTCATCTTCATGCATTGTACTACATAAGTCCTCTCATGTCTCCAGAGTGTCTTCACCAGCCCTAATGGCTTCATACTTCACTCACCACCAAAGCTTGGTATCCCCTCGCAAATACATGGCAGCAGTTGCTACCTTCTTTGCTTCTTCTAGCTCCCCACGGCCTTAACGTACTGGTCGATGTCGAAGATGAAGTTCTCAACTTCATTGGCATTCCGAGCACCGTGCTAGGACTTTCAGGAAGATGCTTATCGTGGAAGAAGAGCCCAAGCATGAGTCCAAAAATTGTGGAGAAGAGTGGACTAAGTGTTACACATTTCATGGTCCATGTCAAAATCCCAGAGGAAAATTGGTGTCACATGGAGCTCAAAGGGAGCTGAAAATCAAGCCCACATGGAGTCAAAGGGTGCTGCAAATCAAGCCTAAAATAGGCTGAAATTCACGCCCAAAACATCCTAAATTGGGCTTGTGTTTTTGGAGCAAAACAAAGGCATTCTTTCCTTTTATTTTTTTTGTTTGATTGTTTGGCAGAAAGTGTGACATTAATTTTTACTTGTTTTCCTAGTTTAAAGTTTTCTAGTTAGGATTTACTATTAATTATTTTCATAAAAAAAGGATTAGAATCCCATGCTATTTGCGATAAAGTGTTCGACATCTCCCTATATATAGCTGTGGATTTTGTTCTTTGAGTAAACAACATTATTATCAATATTATTGAGAGTTCTTTTCTTTAAACCTTCGTGCATTGGCTACTTGGGATTTACCTTATAACCTTACAAGAAAGATTTCTTTAAGAGATAAGACAAATCATGTGGTTGATATCTATGGTTCTTATTTGAGCTAATAATTAGATAAGGTAATTTATTTTTGAGACAAGGGTAACTTTGTATTCACACCAAAAAATTCATCATCCAAAAAATGATGAATTGGAAACTTACATCCCACCCATGGGTATACTTTACAAGTTTCCTATAAAATCAACTAAATCTACTATATCCCCTACAAGATTCTGTTTACACCAAAAAAACAAAAGGCTTATACAATTCATTCTAATCTTCTGTAAGTTAGTCTTTTGTCCCTCAAAACTTCTTAAATTTCTTTCTTCTGTAAGTTAGTCTTATACTAATCATTTTAATTATTCAACTAGGAGTCTAAATCACTTGCATCTAAGTTGTTGAATTGAATTTACTAGTAAAAAGGATTAGTCTTATTTCGCAAATTAGGTCTACTACAATTAATTAGGGTTCTTAGCACTTTTTTTTTTTTTTGATAACCGTCTGTGACCCGCCCTTTGGACCAATCACAGCCTTCTAAACTCGGGTTCTTAGCACTTCATTTCGAAGTTTGGAGATTCTATTCTCTAATTGCGGTTATCTTAATTCCATGTCTGTAATCTTTGTATTTAACTTCTGCATAATTTTCTTGTTTTTCTTCAAGTAACTCGATTTTTATCAAATGGTATCAAAGTGGTTCTATCAAGATTCCGTTCTTGATAATATTGGGAGTTTATTCACCAAAAAATAAAAATAAAATTAGAACTCTTGCTCATCGCGGCCCTCTATGGAGTGAATCAGGACTCTTGTTTTTTCCTGTTTGTTAGAACTCTTGCTTATCGCAACCCTTTAAGAAATTTGACATTTATCAATAAAACAGGTTGGACCTCCATCAAATTACAGATATTAGGAATTTTCTCAAAAAAGTTCCAAGGTCTGTAATTCCCCTTAATGAATTGCAAAATTCAGCAATCATAGGCAAGTCAAGGAACAAAATAACAAGAGATTAGACCTACGTGTTGGGCTTGATTTTCCTGTTAATCATCCAGTGGCTCAATAAAAAATTAGGGACCTTAACACAGAGACACAGGATGAAAGAGCAAGCATTGTGGAGAAAGATCCTTGCAGACAAGTATGGGAAGAAATGGAAAGATGGAGAACCTACCACAATATGAAGCCACATGGGATATCTTTATGGAGAGACATAATGAAATAGCATATAAGGGGCCCTACAAAAAGATTTTGGCAAGAAAGGTGATGGGAAATGCTCTACAATGATGCCTCCCTGACAACATACACTATATTGAGCAAGAAGAAAGCAGAAGTGGCCGAGATTGCAAGGAATAAAGAAGAAAGAATACTAAGGGATTTGACTTCTGAAGAAACAAACATGCCATACTGAGATATGAAAGAGCCGAATAGTTTGTTGGGAAATATCATATAAAATGAATGTCAGTCATGGAAAGAGAAGAACGATCATGTATTCAGTGTTTAAGTCTTTCTATAGTGACTGTTGAAAAGGGAGAAGACTCGGAAGAGAGTTTCTGCATACCCAACATGGATCCAGAGGGCATCAAGGAAAATTTCAATCTTTACTTGGACAGCAGAATGGGGAACCATTTAACAGGAGATCTTGAGGAGAAGAAAGATATCCACCTCAATTGGTGTTTCATGCGCAAGCACGCAGAGTGGATGCCAACCATTTACAACTTTGTTTCTTGGTTGCATACAGTTTATGATGTAAGATGTTAAGAATATCTACGGTTGGAATGGTGACTCCATTGACAATAAGAGAATTATTCCTGCATGGAAATTCAGAAGAAAGACGATAGAAGGGGGAATAGCGCCCTTAACATGGACAATTCGGAAAGAGAAAAAGAAGAGATTTTGAAAGTGGTGGAAAGTGCTTTCAAACAGATCAGCCTTTTTTTTTTGGTATACTCTTGAAGAACTTTTTGATATCCCTACAAGTGTTGATAATTGATATCTCTACACTCTCTGAAGAATCATGACCTTTTAGTAAGATTCTCTACATTTTTTATGCGGGGATCCCACCATATCAGTAGCATTAGCTTAAACAGAAAAAACATAAAAGTATTATATACACCAAAAGGATATAGGTTTTGTTGGTGTTTTTTAAAAAATGGGGCCGCAAAAAGAATGATTGACATATCTCACAATGGATTGAAATGACTTTCAATAGCTTTCAATAGTTTAATTAAGCATTGAGGGACTTTAAATAGCCAACATAAAAAACATAATCTGCATAATTTGAAATTTAAAAAAACCTAAAATATCTGAATAGTTCAAACAACCTAACTAAAATTCAAAATTCATATACATCTTAAACTAAACAACTTATTTTACTAAAAGTTACTACAGTAACTAAAAGCAAACTTCAACACTCCTCTTTTGCTTTAGTTACTGCAATTGAAAAAATGCTCCTCCTCAATTTCTGCTTTGGTAGTTGATGTTGGATTTTTCAGTATTTATGAACTTGCAAAATTTCTTCTTTTTTTCTTTTTCTTTTTGATTTTGTGCTTCAAAAACACCTTCCATGACATTGTCTTGTGTAGAAGTTTTTTTGAAAGTGCTTTTATTTGGATATTTGTAGGATTTGCAAAATATTGTTGTAAATTTTCTTCCTTTACAACATCACATATCACATAGGTTTCAAAATATGATTTTAGCCTCACACACCAAATTTGATAGTTTTCGTATGTGAAAACTTTTGGGGGATTCAAAGAGAGACTACTGCTTGCTGTTATTTTTGGTTAAAAATTGGTTTAAAAAAGCCTGTGCATTGAAAAAAGCACGAGTTGAAAATAGTAGCCTTGACGGGTTAAATGGATAGCCCTGATGGGTAGAGTAGCCCTTACGGGTTAAAAGAGTAGCCCTTACGGGTTAAAAGTGTAGCCCTTACGGGTTAAAAATGGTATGGTAGTTCTTTGAAAGATTTCAAAAATCCCGTGGGATCAATGAAGCTTTGATATCACTGTTGGTGTTTTTTAAAAAATGGGCAACAAAAAGAATTGAATTGAAATGTCTCTCAAAGGATTGAAATGACTTTCAATCGCTTTCAATAGTTTAATTAAGCATTGAGGGGCTTTAAATAGCAAACATAAAAAACATAATCTGCATAATTTGAAATTTAAAACAACCTAAAATATCTCAACAATTCAAACAACCTAACTAAAATTCAAAATTCAAATTCATCTTAAACTAAACAACTTATTTTACTAAAAGTTACTACAGTAACTAAAAGCAAACTTCAACAGGTTTCTTTTGCTTAGTACAATACCTGTGAGTGTATGGAGTTCAGTAATGATGTTTCCTTTAGCATCAATTCTTTTATCCCCAACAATGTATTGTAAGTAGCATAGTATTTACGGGTTTGACGATCCTTGGCCTGCATGACTCATTTTAGAGGTTAACAAAGTGATTGACAAGGAAGTGAAAAAAAATTTGTTATAGGAAAACTTATGCTCCTAGGGACAGGTCCCAAGAACCCTCTCTCTCCTACTTCTTAGGAGAAAGAAACCACTTTTTCCTGCGGTAACCTGCCGGAATCCTTCCTATCTTTCGCCTCTCACACAAGCTACCACTTTTTGTGTTAGCTTCATCCTCTCTTCTTTTCTTTCCAGAACTGATCATGAGGGAAAGCAGAATATATTTCAATGCAGGGCACACGTCTTTCAACATTACAAGGTGGAAAGCCAACAACTCGGTGTGGTACGATTGGGTGGAAAGAAGTCGCTGGTTGATGGGAAGATCTTAGATGAGCAGTAAGACCATGGAGTGGATCTACATCACTCTAAAGGAAGCATCTACAGATCAAAATAACAGTCACTTTTATATGAGAGAGAAAAATGAGCACGGAAGATACATGAGCATCCTCTCCTTAAATAAGGTAGGTATTGATCACCCCTGAACTGGCCTTGAATGTGGGTTGGTGTGACATTGCTTTCAAAATCGAAAAATCCATTAACGTCCTCTGAGACAGTAAGGGCAGGTCCCCCAAGAATGACTGAAGCCAACTACCCTTATGCAAAAGCAGTACAAAACGGTAAATGGTCATCAAAGAATCTCTGAGAAGCTGAGGTAAGGAGCAAGAAAGGTATCATTGAAGTCTCTGCAAAATCTGGGAAGCAAGAGGATGGGCTTTTGAAAGGGTGCCTAATTGGAGGTCTAGACGAAAACATATAGGAGAACCCAACCCTTTGCTATGAGAAGATGGTCATCAAGTTCATGGAAAAGTACCTTCGGGGTAAATATCTATGAAATGAATGAACATAAGTTCCCTTTTTGAGTTCTCTAACAGACTCATGGCAGAACAGGCAGTGTTATCAAAGGCGCGCTTAAGCCCTGAAGCGAGGCTCAAAACGTGTTGAGCGCTTCACCTCGCTTTATGTGCGCTTCAGTGTCGTCATCAAGGTTTTAAGGCAAGCGTTTCCTTGCCAATGAGCCTTTTATGAAGAAGTGAAACTAAATAATTGATATTTCACTTAACCATAATTTTTTTTCAATTTCTTTGGTCATATATTTGTCATTCATGTTTATAATTATTAGTCTTGGACTAAACATATATATTTGTATTCTTTTCTCCCTTTGCGCCTTTTTTCATTAAAGCCCACGCTTTATTTGCACTTAAAGCCCCCATGGACCTTAGAGCTTTTTTGCGCTTTTCGCCTTTGATAACACTGAGAACAGGTGGTGAAAAAACAAAGGGAATGGCAGAAAGGAATTTCAATCTTGAATGGTTGAGCCCTACGTTGGGATGCAAATCAAATTGCAGCTTTGTCAAGGAAACTTGGGTAAGAGCAGTTGGAATCCTTTTACACCTATGGTCACAAAAGGTGTTTCATGAAATTGGCGAGGTATGTAGGGAGTGGTTGGCAATGGAAAAAGACAGCTTTGAAATCATCTAAAATATGGGCCAAAATTTTAGTCTCAAATGACGGGAGAAGTGTTCCGAGATAGGTAGCACTTTCTCATGACGGGTTCACGTATGACATTCCGATATGGGTCGAGAGGAAAACGAGAGTGGAAATCTCGCCGGAACTCACCAGAAAATCAGTCGGAGAAGAAGATGATTTGAATTACTCTTTGATGTGGCTAGAGTGGAAGCCTAGAAGTGACTCATATGCAGATGATACACTCATCTTCTGTGGGACTGAAGAAGATCAACTCAAGCATCTGAGGGTGATCCTGGTTTTGTTTGAAGGGATTTCGGGGCTTCGTATCAACTGGAGAAAGAGTTCTCTGTATCCTATAAATGATGTAGCTAACATGGAGGCTCTGAATATAATACTGGGTGGCCAGGTGGGATTCCTTCCTACCACATACTTTGGGATGCCTTTCGGAAATCATTCGAGATTTGGAATACAGTGATTGGAAAATGTGAGAAGAAATTGGCCGGATGGAAGGGACAATACTTGTCTCTTGGAGGCAGAGTCACACTAATCAACTCTGTTCTAGTTTCCATTCCAACCTACATGATGTCACTATTTCCAACCCTAGCAAGGACTATCAACAGATTGGACAGAATCAGAAGGAAGTTCCTATGCAGGAAAATAAAGAAAGAAAATGATATAATCTAGGAAGGAAGTTCCTATGGCAGCGAAATTAAGAAAGAAAATGGTATAATCTAGTTAAATGGAAGGAGGTGATTGTATAAAAGAGATAAGGGGAAATGGGAATAAAGAACTTGAAAAACTATAAAAGCACCTTAGAACGAAGTGGCTCTGAAGGTATGCAAAGGACAAGTAGCACTTGTAGGGAAAGACTAAGAAGCAAAATATGAGGAGGATAGGTGGATGACAAAGGAAATTACTGGACCATATGGAGTGAACCTATGGAGGTCTATCAGAACTCTATGGAATGAACTTGAGAGAAACACCAAGATCAAAGTGAACAACGGGGGAAAGACGAGGTTTTGGAAATAGGAATGGCATGAGGCAGGCATCCTAGAAAACCTCTTTCTAGACTTGCACAACATAGCAATACAACAACACAGTACCATAGCAGAAATTTGGACACAGGATGGGACATCACCTTCAGGAGACAGAGTAATGATTGGGAAAATGTAAGAGTGGCAGAGTTTCTCAACATAATTAGTCAGTTCAGTGGGACACAAGAGGGGGAAGATGAGCTATGGTGGCAGGGCTGTGGGAAAGGCACATTCAAGGTTAGCAAAGCATACAAGAAATTTCCCCAACCAACAGCTTATCAACTGGCCATGGAAGAATATCTGGAGGGTCAAATTCCTTATAAGGTTGTCTGTTTCGACTGGCTCTTATCCAAAGAGGCAGTGCTTTCACAGGATAACTTAATGAAGAGGGGATAACGTTATGCCCTAGATATTTATTTTATCCAGAGAAGGCGGAAACCGTAAACCAACTCTTTTTGCACTGTAAGTTTACAGAACAATTATGGAGGTTGTTTCTAAACTTGAGAGGTATATCTTGGTCCATGCCAGGAAAGATCAAACAGAAACTTCAAAGCTGGGAAGAGATAGGGGTACTGGCCAAAAGCAGAAGCAGATGGAGAATCATACTAGCCAATAGATGGTAGACTATATGGAGGAAAGAAATTCTAGGTGATTTGAGAACATAGAAAATAGCATATATCGGATCAAGTTGAATTAAATCTTGACTCCATGTTTTTTGGTGTAATCAGATTTGGTCTATTATCATATATCTATTATTGACGTTCTAACTTCATTATAGACATAGGATTTTGTAAATATGGTTGTAGTTCAATCCATGTACTACTCTTTACTTATATATAAATATAAATTTGCCAGTTTCAAAAGAATAAGAAGTGATTAACAAGGACCTGAAATGTGAGTCATGGTCAAACAAAGGTTCATGTCACTGACTATGGTTGTACCTGAATATGAGTATAAAGTTCTGACAATCGGAGTTCATACCTGCAGAAGAAAAGCTCCGTCATAAGTATGAGTACAGTACAAGGCATTAATAAATCCAACCACATTCATGGCTAATAACAAGCATACCAACACAGAAATAAATACCTAGTGATCCGAATATAAAATTCAGAAACAAAGGAAATTCAGTTGACCAAAGTCAATATCAAAGGCTAGTGGGGAAGTTGATCTACTTATCACACACTCGACCTAATATGGCTTTTGTTGTAAGCTTAGTGAGTCAATTTATGCACTCTCTGAAGAAGGAGCACCAAGAAGCGGTCTACAGGATTCTAAGATATTTGAAAAGCTCACCAGGGAAAGGATTGTTTTGCAAAAAAGGTCAAGATAGGGGCATTGAAAGCTTTACAGATGCAGATTAGGCAGATTCTACTATTGATAGGAGGTCTACATGAGGATATTGTACTTTAATATGGGGAAATCTTGTGACTTGGAGGAGTAAAAGCAGAATGTTGTAGCCCGTAGCAGTGTTGAAGTTGAATATCGATATATGGCCCATGGGATCTGTGAAATGATTTGGCTCAAGAAGATGATGAGAGAACTAAAATAGTGTTTGTGTTATCAATGAAGTTGTACTGTGACAACAAAGCCGCCATAAGTATTGCTTGCAATTCAGTTCAACATGACCGAACAAAGCATGATGAAGTGGATAGACACTTCATAAAAGAGAAAATTGAAGAAGAAAATGTGTGCATGCCTTTCATCCCAAATCAGCAAATTGCGGATATTTTCACAAAAGACTTGTTTAAACCAAAGTAGGAAATTCTTGTAAGCAAGTTCGGCACGACAAATATTTACATGTCAACTTGAGGGGGAGTGTTGATTTAAAAATCTAAGTGTGATCAGATATGATTTTGTAGGATTTAAATTGATCTAATAAAATCATATATGATATGCTATTGAATAGGTTAGGATATTAGATCAAACAAAATCATCCCTTGAATCTCAAATCCCCTTGAATCAAGGAATTTGATTGCTAGTTAGTTTATTTTTCTATGCTATAAATTTGTATGTTTATGGATGAATTATATTGTAAAACTTTGGTACCAAAACATACAAAAAGCTCAAGTAGTGAGAATTTCACAACAACTTATAAGGAGGCAACAACACATACACTTACAGATTTCAGATTTCCTCATGGCCTTGACTAATCATTTGAAGCTTGTAGTAATATAACAAAGTGGCCCAATGTTGGGTAACCCAACATCAGAGAAGGATCTAACTTTAATATCATGTTAGGAAAATGCACATTGGGCATGTTACGACCCCAAAAGTTAGCTCAAGTGATGAGGATTGACCCAAAGCAAAATACAACTCATTTAACCGGTGTGGAACTCTAACAATAACAAATAAAGGTTCAACAACTCACTTTTTGACAGAAAGAGAGAATGTGTGTATTAATGAATGTTAGAATCCTAGGAATATTGTATAGCATATGTGTAAATATAGTAGGTAGCTTATTTACTCCTACATCTACTCCTATTTTAATTAGGTATTGATTTGTATTGATTTCCTTTCCTTTTTAGGACATGTAAACTTAGCTATTTAAATCCCAATAGTTGGTGGGAATAATCAGGTTGAGTTCTCTCTCAAACTCCTGTCTTCTCACAACGAGCATGTTTCAATCACCTAAGAGAAGGATAGTAAGTTAATGGTGTTTCACCACCACTTTAATTGTTATGCTTAGTGAATGAAAGCATGAACACAATTTGCTATCTGTTGTGCTCAATGGGCTAATGGATGAACTTCTACGGGAATTATGATATTAGAACATGCCGACCCCAATTAGAATATTTTTTCCCTTAAACTAGTATGACTGGGCACCTTAGTTGTGGTTCAAGAAAATAAATATAGATCAGAAGACATCGAAATTGAGGAACTAAACTTCTTATACCTGGATAAACTCATTAAAAAGAAAAAAACAATTTGATGGGTTCTATAAGGGCTAATTGGTACGTGATGCCATCTAATTTTCTATTCTTTGTTCTGTCATCTTTCTAGAGTAATTTCAATACTACCCAAACTGTTGAATTTGTTTTTAGTTACTGCAGTATTATTTTAGCATAGTAAGTTACCTAGCTTTAGGATGAATTTGAATTTTAAATATTTCTTAGGTTATTCTATTGTTGAGATTATTTAGCCTTTTTTGAATTATTTTTTTTGCAGATTTTCTGCAAATTATGTTATCAAGTTGGCTATTTAAAGCCCTATTATGCTTAATAAAAATATTGAGAGATATTTCAATCAATACATTTTGCTAGCCCGCTATTAAAAACACCAACAGTGGTATCAAGAGCTTTAATGATCTTACGAGATCTGTAAGTTCTTCCAAAGAACTATCATATCATTTTTAACCCGTCAGGTCCACTTTTAACCCGCAAGAGCTATTTTTCAATCAATTTTACCACGTCAAGCTATTTTTAACTCATGCTTTTTTCAATGCACAAGTTTTTCTCAACCAATTTTTAACCTAAAAATAGCAAGCAACAGTCTCTCTTTGAATGCACAAAAATTTCAACTAGTGAAAACTATCAGATTTGGTCAATGAAAATGAAATCATATCTTGAAGCCTATGATCCGTGGAAGTTGTAACGGAAGATATACCCTTACAACCCTCCCTACAAATCCTATCCTTTTCCAAATTAAATCTCATTCGGATGAAAAAACCAAATAATTCAAAGTCAAAACTGTAATTCAAAATTCAGTTGCGGATTCAATATTTCTAAAATCATTGGTTGTGAGACAGCAAAAGAAGCTTGGGAGAAATTTTAAAGAAAAAATATAAAGGAAGTGATCAAGTCAGACAAATGCAAATTTTGAATTTGGAAAGGGATTTTGAATCTCTTAGGATGCAAGAGGATAAAAAAATTGTTAAGTATTCTGACAAGATTTCTTTGATTGTTAATAAAATCAGGTTGCTTGACGAGAATTTCAAAGATGACAGAATAGTAAAAAAAATTCTTGTGACAATTTCAGAGATATTCGAGTCTAAAATTTCATCTTTGGAAGAATCTAAAGATCTCTCTACTATCTCTGTTGAAGAACTAATAAATTCTCTTCAAGCACAAGAGCAAAGAAGAGCCTTTAGACAAGATAATGTTACTGAGGATGTTTTTTATGTATAAAACAGAAAAGAAAAAGGTAATTATCCTCTTTGCAATTACTGTAAAAGACAAACACACTTGAATTTTTTTTGTTAGTGGAGACGTGATGCAATATGTGGAAATTGCAACCAAGCCAGCCATGTTCCAAAAGTGTGCAAGCTTAAAAACAATCCTCAAGCACAAGCAACAAAAGTAGAAAAAGAGGAGAAGCAACTTTTTAAAATTGTAGTATCTAAAGGAAAGGAGGAGTGTTGAATTTGCTTTTAGTTATTGCAGTAATTTTTAGCATTATAAGTTACCTAACTTTAGGATGAATTTTAAATATTTGTTAGGTTGTTTTAGTCGCTGAGATTATTTAGCCTTTTTTTATTTTTGTAATGCATATTCTCTGCAAATTATGTTATCAAGTTGGGTATTTAATGCCCTATTATTCTTGATAAAAAATATTGAGAAAATATTTCAATCAATACTTTTTGTTGCCCCATTTTTAAAAACACCAACACAAACAACCAAGAAACTATGGAGGCCATCAAACCTATAATCTATTAAAATATCTAAAGCCTACAAGCTAATATGCTCCTATGCAGTTTTTATCTCCAAATCATCATGGTGGGATGCTGGAGAATCAAATCCCACCTCCTACTAAGATATTCACAATAGTAAGACTCTGAAACTTGGAGTCTTGGACAAAAGTCGAACATAAAATCCTCTAATTTTGTATACTGGTACTCTTTCACTAAATAAACTTGAAGCATCTATAAAGTAGTTAGACAGCTTGTGTAGATTGTATCATTAACAAACTAAAACCAGATAATCAACAGCTGAAAGCCAATTCCAGGGTTTTCTAAATCAATATCATAACAAATTGCTTTCATTCATCTCAGCTAAATGCTACCCTATTAATTCTAGAAGCAAACACTTCTTCACAAATGTAAGGGCTTACAAGATTTAGGCTAGGATGAAATGAGGTTTCATTGATAAATAATGAAAGCTTAAAGAGTTCAAGTACCTTTAGATAAGGATAGACTCTCACATAACCTTGCACCCAAGGAGAGTGGCCTAATAGTCAACGTAGTGGGTCAACAACCATTAGGTATCAGGTTCAAATCTCAGTCGAGGCAAAAACATAGTGATTTCTTTCCATCTATCAAAACCTTGGTGGAAAGAGTTACCCAGTACCTATGATGGTGGGAAAGTTGACCAAGACTTCACAGTTATCAAAACAGAACGAAACAAAAAAGACCCCCCCCCCCCCACCCATAATCTTTAGTGCTCCAGATAAACATTTCAGAGAGCTAGAATTTAATTGGTTTTCGATTCAATAAAACAATTCCACACCGATTCAAAACTTATGCTCTTTGTACACCGAACATATTAAAGAGGGATTACCACATTCAGCAGGTATGAGGAGTATAATGCACAAAATGGAAAAGCACTAATAGAGGAACATACTGAATGAGTTCAGCTTGTGATTGCACGTCATCGAGCTGCCGTTTAAATGACAGAGTTGACCTCAATTTAGCTGCAAGTTCCTATAAAAGAAAAAGAATTGTAATTTTAATATGACATACATCATCAAGGTTCAGTTTATTGGATAGTGGTGAACTTAAGTACAATGGTGCTGTGTTTTAAGTAGAAAGATGCTAAATCTAAATCTTATCTTATCCAAAAACAAAGATGAAGCTACAAGAACTGATTGCATATCAAGGATGCTGTCATACTTGAATTAGCAATCCTGATGGTTGTTAGCCTAAACATCTTAATGTAGAACTAATAATGGTCCATCGGCTATCCAACAAATAGTCCAAATTGCTATCGACTTTCCCTGGATGATTAAAACTTGAAACACAAAAGCAATTAATGTGCAGAGCTGCCCACTCGACATTGTTTTCTTAAGGCCTGAAAAGAAGGAAATGCATCAACATGGGGTTTATCATGAGGTATGCAAGAAGTACAAAACAAGAAACCAAGATCCATGTTAAGGACCAGACCTGGGGAAATCCTTTAGCCAAGGAGAGGACGAATACAAAGGTTTCCCTATGTCAGACTAAAGAAATATCTCACAAGCAGCAAAGAAGTTTGTGGTCCTTTTTTACTTTAGGGAGTATATCTGTTGGCTAATAGAGGATTTCCAAGAAGATATTCTTGTTATCAAGATATGATCTTCTAAGATCTTAGGATTATTGTGGTAATCTAGAATATCATATCTCTGATTCTTTTTCTTAATGTAAAATATATGATTCTGATTTCATGGGATTTAGGTGATTCTATTCCACAATTTCTTATGTATATATAAAGCCATGTATATGACATAGACACATATGAATGAAATTATTCAACAATCTTATTTCACATGGTACCAGACCAATTTTATTCATCCTATCTTGAAAATTCCCATTTTGCTATCTTTGTCTGCCCAAACCATGTCTGAAAATGGTACATCCGCAAATATTCCAGCCTCTGAAAATGTTTCTGCAACAGTAGAGAATAACTCTACAGTTTCAACTGGAGATTTGCAACATTCAGCTTCAACAGGTAGTTGTTCATTGTCCTTCACAGGTATTTCTTACTCTTTTATTACTAATGTCTTTGACAAACTTTCTCAACATGGGTGATTGATTCCGGGGCAACTGATCACATCTTTTCATATCATATTTCCCTTGTCCTAGCTATAAAAAAATAACTATAGCTAATGGTTCAGTTATTACTGTAGCTAGACAAGGAGATATAACCACTTGGAAAATCCTTGATACTTTGCAAATCTCATTTCTATCCAGAAATTCACCAAAGATTCCAAATGCCAAGTAACTTTCTTCCCTTCATATTGCTTATTTCAGGAACAGGAACAAAACACGAAGGAGATGATTGGGCGTGCTAGTGAGAAAGGTGGTCTTTATTGTTTGGATTTCCACAGTGGTGAATATATATCTAAGAATTCCTTGTCTAGTTCATTCTTGTCTGAATCTATCAAGTCTAATAAAGAGGAAGTTTATGTAATGAAGACTTTGGAGTGCTTGTGGTGTATGGCTTTATGATCGTCAATTAGGTCACCCATCCTTTTTTGTAATCAAAAGGATGTTTCCATCTTTGTTCAAGATTTGATAGTTGAGTCTTTTCATTGTGATGATTGTGAAATTGCAAAATACAAACGTGCTTCCTTTCCAAGAAGTCACAAAAGATGTCAAATTCCTTTCTCTGTTATTCATAGTGATATTTGGGGACCCTCTCCCATTCCTAATATTTCTGGTGCTAGATGGTTTTTTTCATTCATTGATGATTGTACAAGAGTTACGTGGATCTATTTGCTAAAGCGAAAATCAGATGTCAGTCAAATTCTTCCTACCTTTTTTAATATGATCAAAACCCGATATGATGTGTCAATTAAAAGACTCTGATCTGATAATGCCAAGGACTACTTCAATCAAAACCTCTTTTGTTTTCTTCCAAAAAAGAGGGAATTATTCATGAATCTTCATGTGTCAATACTCCTCAACAAAATGGGATAGCAGAGAGAAGAAACGGTTGTTACTTGACATTACTAGATCACTATTGTTTCACAAAAAGGTGCCAAAACAGTATTGGGGGAAGCTGTCCTAACTGCTGCACATCTTAGTAACATAATACCATCAAGAATTTTGAACTTTCAAAGTCCGCTTGATACTCTTAGGAATTTCTTTCCAAATTTTGAAATATCCAATAGATTGGTTCCTAGAATCTTCGGAAGTGTTGCCTATGTTCATATTCATTCTCAAAATAGAGGCAAATTAGAACCACATGCTCTTAAGTGTATTTTCATAGGATATTCTCCTACTCAAAAAGGTTACAAGTGCTATCAACCATCATCAAACAAATTCTTTGTTTCAGCGGATGTCACATTTGATGAGAGTGAATCATTTTTTAATCATTCTTACGGCCAGGGGGAGTCATTGAAGGGAGAGGAACCTCTAGACTTTCACTATTTGATTTGTCCATTTCTAGTCGCGCCAAATCCTTGCACCATTTCTTCGGTCACATGAGCCTCTAAATCCAAATGAGCCCATTGAGTCTCCCAATCCGAATATAGATAATGGAATTCTAGAAAATAATCTACCATTGCAGGTATATTCCAGAAGAAAGAGACTAACTGATCAAACTACTCGGTTGCAATCATCTCCTTAGGTTACTACTCCTAATACCCATCTTAAACTTGTTGAACCATCAGAAACACCAAACCAAACTGATCATGAAGAAGAATTTAACCAACCTAATGATTGCACTCAGAAAAGGAACTAGAACTTGCACACAACACCCTTTGAGCCTCTCCGTGACATATCAAAATTTATCCCCAAGTCATAAAGCTTTTCCCTGTAACCTCCACACAATTCCTATCCCCAGAAATTTGTCTAAAGCATTAGGAAATAGAGAATGGGAGAAAGCTATGAAGGTAGAAATGGAAGAGTTGGAGAAAAACAAAACTTGGGATATTGGGAGGAAATCTGGTGACTTGAAGGAGTAAAAAACAAAATGTAGTAGCTAGATGAAGTGCAGAATCCGAGTTTAGATCTATGGCTATGGGAGTTTGTGAGTTGTTATGGTTAAAGATAATCCTTGATGATTTGAAAATAAGATGGGAAGGACCTATGAGACTATATTGTGACAACAAATCAGCAGTAAGTATAGCTCATAATCCTGTACAACATGATCGCACTAAGCATATTGAGGTGGACAGACATTTCATTAAGGAGAAATTAGATAGTGGACTCATTTGTACGCCATTTGTATCTACAAAAGATCAGGTGGCTGATGTTTTAACAAAAGGACTGCCAAACAATGTGTTTCAAAATCTAATAAGCAAGCTAGGAATAGAAGATATCCATTCACCCGCTTGAGGGAAGAGAAAGAATAAAAAAAGTGGATTCAACATTCGGGAGTGTTGGCTGATAGAAGATTTCCAAGAAGATATTCTTGTTATCAAGATATGATCTTCTAAGATCTTAGGATTATTGTGGTAATCTAGAATATCATATCTTTGATTCTTTCTCTTAATGTAAAATATATGATTCTGATTTCATGGGATGTAGGTGATTCTATTCCACAATTTCTTATGTATATATAAAGCCATGCATATGAAATAGAAACATATGCATGAAATTATTCATGAATCTTATTTCACAATATCCTAGGAAAATAACTCTGCTTAACTTTCAAAAAAACACCTAAAAATGCAAAATTTACACAAAGATATGAAAAGAGAAAGCATTCCCGTTTTGAATAACTTTATTTGCTTTTTGGACTTTCACAAGACGATTTCTATAATCCTTTTTTGTCTTCATTGATCATTTATGTTGAATAATGACGGCAAGGAACACATAGCATATCATATGCATCTTATTAGATAGTTCGTATAATAATATACTAAGGGGTTGATTGGTTGGTGGGTTGGGATAGACAAGGATATCTCATGGGATTATTTCATAACAATCTATAGGGGATAACTTTTCCCACCATTTTATACTTAAATAGTGGGATAAAATAATCATGGGACTAAATAATACACAATACCAAACGCATGACAAAATAATCTCATGGGATATCCTAGGATTATTATCCTTATCCCACAAACCAAACAACCCCTAAGCGGTTGTTTGGTTGGTGGGATAAGGATAACAATCCTGGGATAAAATTCAGGATTATTTTATCATGTGTTTGGTTATTATTTCCCATCATTTGTACTAAAATGGTGGGGTTAACTATCCCATATAAAAGGTGGGATAGATAATCCATGGGATATCTTGTCTATCTCATCCCTCATACCAAACGACCTACGAGTTCCATATTGGAAGATATGTATTGAGTATTGTGTAAAGTTTGTATATAAACAGGGTTCAACGCAAAAAAAATAATTCACGCATCTTAATAATATTTTCTCGGCTCACTATTACACACATGGTATGTGGTGAAAAATATTCAGATAAAGAAAACACAGTTACACAGTCAGCGAGCCTCAATTATTTGATGACTAGCTCAGATGTTTTGCATCATCCTCTTCTTACATAAAAAAAAAAACCAACACTACCATAAAATTCATCATCGACTGGAGATCAAATCCCAATAAGACTTTCCGGCAGCCAATTCTGCATGTGCCGTCAGCATCTAGTGTTCAGACGAGCCAGTAAAGTCACACGCCGATGTGTGAGGTAGTTTCCTGGTATTTGTCAAGTTGGAGTCTTTTCCTATGGTGGTCACTTGTTGTTTCCAACCCCACTCACGGGGATTTTTCTAGTAAACGGTCACTGAAACAGTGTTTTCCAATGGTACAATGACTTTTTCAGCTTTTGTTATTTTTCAGCCAGTTTTTAGTGGTTTCTTCACTGTTTTCAGCTGTGATTTTGCGAGTCATCTTTTCCATCGAATAGGTCTTTCAAGTTTGATATTTTTGGCTCCAAAAATACAGAATAGGAAATTCAGGTTTTATGATTACTTAAAAACCCTTAATTGGAAGTTCAAACTATTTAGCCTGGACTTCCTCGATTGAGTTGTGATGCAAAGACCAAGGTGTTCAAGATCACTTGACCAAAAGGACTATTGAGGGAGATGACAAGGCTCAAGCACAGCGGTAAAAGACTGATACTCAATTATGTAATCACTTGTGGCAATCTATCGACTCCAAGTTGATGCCTTCATTTCATCCTTTTAATACATTTTATTCAGTTTGGGAAAAGGCCCACACTTTATACACTAATAACATCTCATTTATGATGTAATATCAAGGGTGACAAACTTAAAAGAAACATGAATTGGATGTCTACTCACTTAGGACAGGTACAGGCAATCATGGAGTAATTTGATTACTAACTTTTACAGAATATTTCATCCTAACCAAAGTGGAACTCTGAAGGAAGATCTGAAAAATAATGTCTCAGAAACAAGGAAAAGTTAGTGAGAACATCGATTTTGACTCTCCAACGTAAGAGAAACTTGAAACCTTGAGCCATAATATTGACTTTTTGTTAGATATAATCTGATTAACTCAAACATTTATACCTTAAATCCACATTTAACCTCTACATTTACCACTGACTGCAAGCTTTTGCCTGCACCTAACTATAGTCCTCAGATGGAGTTCAAATAAATCTACTTTGGAGGTGATTTCACTTTTGCAGAACAGTTGAAATGAGCTCTTTTTCAAACACATGAGTATAATTTAAAGCTTATAATTAGTTGAAGGTCAATGTTAAGTGTGTCCTTTTCACCCCATCATATCTTCAATTCTCACAATAACCATCAAGTCTAGCAGAGAGAATTTATACCACAAGTTTGTACTTCCATCTTAGATTACCTTTCTTGAGCCAGAAGATACCCTTCTATTTAGTATGTTTCTCAACACCCTCCTTAAACAAGTGTGGATTTGTTTACTTACGTTTTCTCTGTGATCAATTGAGTAATAATTTCATTAATAAAAGGAAAAGACTCCCGTATACAAGTAGAATACCAAAAAAAGAGATCTGAACAAATAGGAATCTCATGGGTGCACCAAAGAAACATGAGGGATAAAGGGCCATTCTTCAAATATACAAAGTGATATTTAATTCCTTCAGAAGTTCTTGTATTTCTTTCTCTCCACACTACACACATAAGAGCAAATGGAGCAATGTCCCATGCCCATCTTCTCTTCTGTCTTCCCTTCTTGTGGTAAAGCAGAACCTAGTAATTACGGTATCAGTCCTTACCAAGTAGAAATTCTTCAAAATCAACACAACAACAACTACCTCCAAAAATATCATGAAAAGGGAAATAATAATGTAGAAGTGATGTACAAAAGATTCATACAGAATAATAAGCCAAGACAATAAGAACATTGATTAAACAGAATAGGTTGATGTAATTCAGACTAGATATAATCCTTCATATTTTTGGTAAAACTGAAGCAATATCTAAGTTTGTGTGATGAACATCCAAACCAACAAACAAAGCATAAACTTTTGTAAGAAGCATAAACATAGCATATCAGATAAAGGCTACTCAAATTGGCCCCGCCATGAGAAATAAGAGAGAAACCAAGTAAGAAGCTTGACTAATCCCTCAAGTTTGGTTTGGATTTTATTGCAACTTCTTTAACAATATAGTAAGTGTATAATCACGAAATCAAGTCATAATCAAATTCCTAATGAAATCAATTCTAAGTATTGTAAATCTTGTACAATCTTACCTCAAGTTGGAGCGTACATAATCTTGTTACAAATATACTCGACTCGAGGTCTTCCTACAGATGATAAGAACATCTACTAGATTATCATTCTGACTGAAAAAGTTGGTGGCTATGCATCTGGACTCAATCTATAATGCCCCACATGTATTTAGGTAATTTTAAACTCATTCCATGAATTAAAACATGTCAATTGAGTGATACTCTGTGATGGTAATTAATTATGACGTTTGAATATTGATGTAGCTGTCGATTTGGGTGTTGGAAGTGAGTTAGAGGTAAGTAGACATAGCAAAAAGGAATTGAAATTGTCACAACCCAAGGCCATGGGATGTATTATACGAGCGGATTTATCACTCATGCTACGCAACATCAATCCCCAAAAGTGTGCATACCAGGTGAACTTGAGTTATGCCTTATAAAACTCTTTATTTTCCTCTCCAGTTTCGATATGGAATTCGCCTAAGGTGTTATGTGCACCTCATCTTCAGAAGTTTACCAACCTAGAAGCCTGCTAGTCCTGCTAGGCCCACCCTCATCAGTCCGCCCATTGTCAAGGGGCTCATATAAATTTAAAAGTTTGTCTGGCTGTGGTGGGTCGCGCCATGGTGTGCCCACCATGTGAAAGGGGCATAACTCAATCTATTAGTTCCTTGTTATTGTTAGCAAAAAAGTAAAGCATTTTCTTACCCTCTTCGCGAAATCAAGCTTCTCAGTGGAGTCCCGAAAAGTATGGTCCAAATTTTCAGAGAACGTCATCTCTTCGCCTCTTTGCAGTAGCTCCTCAAACTCATCAACGTTAGTTTGCAATTTAGCATGTTCTAATATGCACCTAGATTGGAGTTCAGACTCTTGGCTGTCAAGGGCCTAAAAGAATCAAGAGCAAAAGTTGGTCATATGCATTTAATCATGGTCAGAAGGACATCAAAGAAAAAGGTCGCATGAAACAAGATAATCTTTTAAAATGAAATTAAAAAAGAAAATGCTACCAAGATATTGAGTATAAATAAGAGAAGAAAGATGATGAGAACGTCGAGAAAAGGATATTGAGCTCAATAGAATTGCATGTAATCCTTTTATTTTTTAAGATTTAAAATCTGACCAAGGTTGAGATATTGGTTAAGCAACAAATGATGCTCATCTACAAGATCGCAAAAGGCAGCAGATATCAGGTTAAATATTTCATGTCAAGAAAAGGATTTCATCCAAAAAAATATAGAAACAATTTTAACAGTGTAATCTTAAGCATCCACAACAACCAGAATGCAACAATATGATTGTATTGGCAAACATATACCGGAAGCGAAGACTATTTGACAGAGACACGTCGCAAGTGTAGATAGGATTACAGTCCAACTGTCTAGTCAGTGAACGCCATTCAAACCAAAGATTTCTTGGACCATCCCCGAGAATCATCTCCCGGACCCGCCTTATTCTCACCAAACAGCAGGAGTCTGGAAGAATCCATCCGGGGAGGTTCAAAGTGCCTGGACGGTAGATAACTCAAACAACGGCCAGATTCCAAGATATCTGGTTTTCCATTTAATCTCATTTAATGGCAATGAACTTAGCCATGTAACAGCTGAAATGAGCGTGAATCATGAAGCAATCACCACTGGCCTACCTTTTAAACTCCGCCACTGTTCCCCACTATTAATACCATTTGAATTCACCTGAATACACATGTTACTTTCGTCTTTTATCTCTTCTTTTATCAGTTATCTAAATTTGGCTAATGTCTTGTTATTTTTCATATCATTATTCCAATTAAATTCACATTATGAAGAATCACTATGAATTAATTACAATAATTTAATTGATTGATCTGATAAATGAATTTTAGGTTAAACAATGATAGGTTTTCTACCGCTGTTAGAAGCGAAAAACTATTTCAAAACACAGAGTTCACTAAACTCATCAAAAACTAAGCATATAAAAGTAATGTACCATCTATTACCGAAAGAGAGAGAACTTCAGCACCCACCTTGGACGTTTCGAGAAGCGATAATATCTTCTGCGCAGTGGGATCACCGTCAATTCTTTCTTGTAGTTGCTTTATCTCACTCATCAAATCATCTTTTTTCTGATTCAAAGCAAATACGGATCAATAATTGCTGATTGATGGACATGACCAAATTCAAAAATGTCAGTTTTCAATTACCCACTTGATTCTGCAATTCTAATAGCTTCTTACCAGTTCTTCCATTATTATTTCCGAACGATTCCTCCTGCAAGTTCCGTACAAACAATTTGAGTTATATCAAGGAGATGGTGGAATAGTTGATAGGATTACCTGTTCTATCAAATAGAAAATTGAATTAAAGGTGTCAAATAAGTTTTGGTTTTTGGTTTTGTTTTGGGTGATATTGACTTAGTCAAAGAGGATTAAATGAAAAGTGGGAGCTTTTGATTAAAATCATTCCTTAAGTATGACTTAAATCTAAAGGATAAGAGTCTGAAAAATACCTCAACTTTGGTCGAATTTGTTGTTCGATCAAAGTTGGGGTATTTTTCAAACCCTTATTCCTAAATCTAAAGTACATCCTTATCTATCTATATCTAACTTCTCTATATCTATACTACATTAAAAGCATGAACTCCGAAAGATCAATGTTAAATTACGGAAAAACCCCTCACTTAAAACGTAAAAAGATTACACAAATACCCCTCACTTAAAACTTAAAAAGATTACACAAATACCCCTCACCTAAAAGAACCCCTAACTTCACAGCCCTTCCGCAACAAACACCTTTGCTGCGAATAGTCACCGCTTTCACTGGAAAGCCGCCAAATTCCCCTGCAACTGCCCAACGTTCAATAAATAACCAAACAACACAACCTCTGGAGATTGCCCTATTTATATCAACCACACCCACAACATCGGTTCCCATTGTTAATTCAACTTCTGTTGTAGTCACAAAGGTCTTCCATGTTTCCTCCTCTTGGTACCATCTACTTTTTAGCAAACTCAACTCTTACGTGTGCAATTTGTAATTAAATTAGGTAAATATTGATCATCCATCTTCAACCACACTACAATATTGGACTTGTGCTTCAAATATTTCACTCCACATCAAGGTTGTAAGTTTTCACTCTATTTAGGTTTTGATTTATGGTTTTTATTGGACTACTTGCAGCACCTAACAATGTTACAATCGACTTAGTAATTCCTTTCCTTTAACTACTACACACTGTTGCCCAGAATTAACATTGATATTCGCTTTCCGCTATGCACCTCTAACCATCCAGATTCATCACAAATGGCGACTGAAACCGAACTATCAAAGCAGAGTGTCCCCATTAACAAGATACCAAAGCACTCTGTTGATTGGGTGATGAGATTATTGGTTATTCGCAAGGGTTCTGTAATTTCGTACAACAATTCATGCCATGAAAGAACTTTCCAAACTGTAATATTAGTGGACTACGAGGTAACACTTTTGCTAAGCTTACATGTTATCGTTCCTGTTTATTCCCTTTTACTTCTCTAATGACATCACATGTTGCTTACATCAATAATAGGGGACAAAGTTGCAAGCGACACTATTTAACAAGCATATCAATACATGGAAAGACTTCTTGAAGATAAATAAGACATACTACATTGCTAAAGGGTTGCTAGATCGGGTCAACCCCAACTACACTTATGTGCACAAAGAGATTGAACTGACCATTACAGACAATACAATCATAAAGGAGAGTGACCATGTTGTTTCAACACACAACTTCTCTAATGGTTTTGTATCTTTGGAACATGCAGAGAAATTGCCTAATGGTGCCATATTTGGTAACTCTTCACACGACTTATTAATAATTTCCTTCAAGTACATCATACATATCACTAATTTATATGTCCACTATTCAGACTTGATTTGTGTGTTAGTTACGGTGAATCCCATCATTGTAAAAGGCGATAGCAAAAGACGCGAAATTGCTGTTACAAATGAACTGTAAGTTGCCATTCTTTGTTCTTCGCCCACCGTCCATAATAATCTGCCAGTGCATTCATATTACTTGTCTATTTCATAATCCAGCATGGAGTGTACAACTGTTACTCTTTGGGGAGATTTTGCAGAAAACGATGGCGCCTTTCTTGAAAAGCTGAAAAATGACCAACCTATTCTAGGCTTATGCGATGTGCGAGTCTCAATCTATAAAGGTATAGATAACCTCTCCTCTTTTCTGATTGTACAAATTTCAAGTATATTTGTTTATTCCTTGATTAAATATGTTGTTTCCAATGTAGGGACTTTTGGGATATCAACTATACCCGTGAGCAGTGTGTTGATCAATCCAATATTTCAAAAAGCACTAGATCTTCGAGCCTGGTACACAACCTCATTTACTAAATTGCTCGGCAGAATTAATCTAACCTTACTGCCACAACTTCTGTTCAATGAAGAATATAACAACAGAGCCACAATTTGTTTTTTATGGAGAACTATATATAACCAGTCCTATCAAATTTTCATTTAATCTAACAAATTTTAAACGCACTAACTTTTCCTCAAATATGTGCAACAGTTAACTCACATATTTTCTATATATAGGTGTGAAGTCATAAAGGCCGAAAAGAAAGCTATCACAACCACACCAAGTAAGGTAATGAGAAAAGCCACAGAAGTGATATTACCCAATATTATGGATGGCACACTTGTTGATACGCATGTACCTACAAATAGAGCCTTTCTTTATCCAAATAGGACCATTGCTTACCAAAATTAATGTTGAATATTGGTTATTAATAATGTCCAGGAAGCTTTATACAAGTTCAAAGCCAAAATTGTAGACATACTCAATATAGAAGAGCCATGGTACTCGTCCTGCAAAAAGTGCCACAAGAAAGTGCAAGTTAAACAAGATACAGTGACGTGTCCCAATTGCAATATCCAAAATGGGGAGTACGAAATGAGATTAGACTTGCCTGAAATGAGCAATCAACATTTTTTGATAATATACACCCAGTTTAGCTATGAACACTAACTTATTCACCCTATTTTAAAGATACTCCTTACGACTTGAAGTTTGTGATGAAGAACAACGTGCCCGAGTGACACTATTTGACGCGGCACAAATGTTAGTAGGTTGCAATGTCGAAGACTACTTCAAAACAACCTTGGAAAAGGTTCGCCCTGTACTTATACCATCTTACACTATAGTTAAACCTACTTTAATCCCAACAAAAAAAATGTCTGACTAACTTTCAGAATTATTTTTAACCTAATATATCCTATTGTTGATGTTTCTTATAGAAGGAAGAAAGTATGTACTACTGCAGATTGGTGTTCAGTAAAGACAAGGAATTCAAGTTCCTTGTCCGCATCGATATGAATAATTCGAACCCGCGCAGGAGTCTAATTTCCTAGGAAATACATCCCATTGAAGATGAAGCAGTAATTTTAATGGCAGATGAATCAAAATCACAGACACCACCCACAAACAGGGCCAAAAAATCCAATGCACTAGAAAGACATGCTCTTGAGGATGAAGCACCAATCATAATGGAAGAAGCACAACCTGTGAGGCCGCGAAGCAATAGGTGTAAGAAATCCAATGTGATACATGTCCTTGAAGATGAAGCACCACACATAGTGGCGAAAGTACAATCCGTGAGACTGCAAACGAAGAGGGGCAAAAAAACCAATGAGCTAGAAAAACATGATGTTGGAGAAGGAGCACCAGACATAGTGCAAGAAGCCCAATTTGTGAGGCCGCAAAGGAAGAGGTGTAACAAATTCAATGTGCTACATGTCCTTGAAGATGAAGCACCACACATTGTGTCGGAGGTACAATCCGTGAGGCTGCGAAGGAAGAGGGGAAAGAAATCCAATGTGCTAGAAATACATGATGTTGGAGAAGAAGCAACAAACATAGTGGAAGAAGTACAATCCGTTATGCCACCAACAAGCCGGAACAAGAAAATCAATGATGAACATCTCCAAATTAAAACTAAGATCAGGTCACAGAAATTGAGTCATAATGGATGAGTTCCTTGATAGTGTTACCGAGCATTGCGTACCGTCTCCAAATAATGAAACGTCTACAACATAATGTTTGTATGTTAGTAATATCTGTATTTTATTGGCTTCATCGGCTGCTTAGCTAATGTATGTATGTTTTTTCTTACCTAATTAAATGTGAATTATGGAAATAATAGCACCTTAATAATTAATATCTCAATCGCTTCGGTTGCTTTTTATATTGTCCTATCTCCCCCTCCAATATAATAACGTATGCTCCTCGACATTGAAAGGATTATATGATTGACTAAATTAAGAAATTATCACATTATAAATAGTTCTTATAGTTGTGTTAAATGGTATAACATTGTACATACATCAACTAAAGTAATAGTCAAAAGGCATTTTGGGAGGATGCTTCTCAAAATTCGCTATCATGTACACACCAAATAAGCAATTACTAAACCACGTATTTCATCATCGAGAGTCCAACAATCTTTTGTACCAAATCACTACAAATATAAAGTGATATAGCGATTTAACTTGAAAATACATGTTTTCCCTCAATAACATGATTAACGTAATTACACACTTATAGAACAACATTGTACAGTTCCAGCACACCCAAATAACAAAAAAAAACCTCAAAAAACCAACGGTGAACCACTGATTGACCTTCAAAAGATCCAATGTCGATAACGTGATAAACATGTTTGTATATTTTCTTTGCATCAGAAATTGATTGGGTGACACCTCTTAGTATTGTAATACTTATTTTGAAGTTGTATTCTACATAAAGAATCTTAATAAAAGTTGAAATGTGAAAGTGTCTCGGAACCTTGTTTGGTATTGCTGTTTGGAGTAGTTAGACATTTAGTTCTAAAGTTTAAGTAGGCGTTTGGACATAAAAAATGTGATATTTGAATAAAAGTAGTATTTGAAGTTAAGTTGAAAACTGTATTTGGAAATCAAAGTTGTGTACATGCATTCAACTTGAAACTCATCTGCAAAAAAAAGAAATTCAAAATAATCAGTCCTATATATAACCAAATGCTGGTTTTGAAATTTTTGTTATTGGAAATAAGGAAAAAGTTTCCATGGATATGACTCCTAATGGTATATTTCTTAACAGATTCTTTTGTAATAGATGCTCTGACTTTTAATAATCATTTTCATGGATGGTGGAACCGGAGATTGGTCCAACTTCTAGGTGGTTACAACATTGCTTCATGTATTCTCCTGGAACGCTCTCAT